CCAACTAGGTTCTTAATACTGAGAGTGAGAAGCCATAAACAGTTTGGACCAAGTCATGTTTGCCCCTCTGGAAATTCCACAACATTCTGCCAGAACTTCTTTGTTGCCTCTTTCACACCCATGTCTTGAAGCTACAACAAATCATATTCATGCCAAGGAAAAGAGTTCCAACATCTTTGTTAGAGCTAAAAGCACAATTAATCACCTTTTGGCTGATGGCCAAAATTTAAATGTCTTTCAGCCAAACAGTGTTTTGGAAGAAAAGGAGAGAATTAAATGAATACAAAACAAATAAATAAATATATTATTTTGGAGCACAGAGGTGCACAGTACGGCAGTAGAAGCTGCAGCGCTGACTTTCCTCTGAAACAAGGTCAAGTTTTCCTGTAACTTTTCTTCCACTTGGAAGGCAGAGAGAAAAATGATGACATCTTTGCTCGTGTTGGGATATATTAAATTTTATGACCCATCCAGAACAGCGAATTAAGGCACGTAGAGGGAGGAAGTAAAGGGTGGAAGCCTTTGGTCCTGCGTGTATCATTTTTCCTTCACAGACCTCTGTGCACTGTAACATGAATTCTCTGGTAGAATATTAAAAAGGAATCACTCTCGGCTCCTTCTCTTCCTTCATCATCACTCCCACAGATCTGTCCACGCTGCTCTGACTAGCCGACATGATGAAGAAATTATATAGATCTGGGCCAAAACTCAAACAGAAGACACTAAAGTAAAATATTCACCAAATTTAACATTTCAGAATTTATATGGAGGATAAACAACATCTTGTATTTATTTTTTTGAATTTTATACTACTGTTGCCAGACATGCATTAGTGGCTTATACCGCCATGTAACTGTATAGACTTTAGCAGCTTATCTGCAACACAACCATAATTTATCATCTGATTACAGGCAAAATGATACAAGGAAAGAGAAACACATGATGAGATTCAATGATTTAAAAAAATTCCAAACAAACTTTGCAGTTAAAAATAAATGTTTTCATTTAAATATGGGTGGGGGAGAAATATCTCAGTGTAGTTGGCAGTTTTAATATTTAGCTGCAGTGAATCATGGCTGTTAATTCGATATTCAAGTGTTAACAAGTGGTTGAAAAGCTTCCACTTCTCTCACTTTATACGCCATTTTAACTGTATCAGTGTCATAAACACAGATGTCACAGAGGAATGGTGTATGTTAACTGCCATGAAGGATAAGTCTGTGGACTATCTGTCAAATTATTCTTCATTCTATTGATAAAACATCATCAAATCTATGAATCTAATCACAGACTTGTGGCCTTGTACCAACTGTGATATGCGTCCTGTATATTATGAGAGAATACAGAGAAAGAGAAAGAGTCAATGGAAATAAAGTTGAGGTGAATATGATTTGTCACTGCGTGGGATGCAACTAAGACAACTGGTGTACTTCTTAAACACTCGCAAAAACCTGCAAATTTATCTGGATAATATAGACTGTACATATATACATATATATATATAAACAAGGTTTTGACATGTGAAGATCGTGACAGGAAAAACAGACTCATATAGAAAGAGCGCTCACCTCCACTTACAGTATGTAGTGTTGCAATAAATACCTTGTTTTCTTTAGTAATTTGGTTAACACTACCATAAAATTAGAATGTACTCGGTAATGCTGGTACTACATTCTTTGTGACAAAAATATTTCACATGATCAGCACAAAATTATTGAATTTGATTTCTGGTCAAATATTTGCACAGGCCTATAGGAGAAACACAGGTGTAAATAATAAAATGTGTCATGGCTGCTTCAATACCCAGGTCCTGGTATCGTTCATAACGGGACACTGATACATCTAGATGGAACTCAGCCACTGGTATTGTTGATGTTGAGCCACTGGTTTTCCTACCGTGACAAGTCAAAATGTTTAAAGCAGTTTTCCCACGTGACATGACTGAAATAAATCTTGGAAAATGTAAGGAATTTAATTCAGTTCAATTGCTAGTGGCATTGATTTATTCAATTTATTATTTAAAAATACAGCAGTAGGAGTAGGATTTTCTGCTGTTGGTTAAAATTTCAAATAGGAGTTACTGTAGATGGATATAAAAGTGGAAAGCTGAGGACTTTCTTATAAACATGCCACTGCTGATAAATTTCATTCATGACCCTAGACATTTCATTCATTCATTAATCCATTGATACCCAACCATTGTGTCCCACAACAATAAAAAAAAAATCTTCCTCTAGGCAGCAGCAAATGGCAATAAAACTAAAAAAAAATAGAGAGACTCAGAGCTGTTAAAGATCGTATGTGTCTTTCTTCAATTCCTAGTATATTAGCGTTGAGTTCAACTAAACAGGCCCAGATTTTAGAAATAATGAGTTGAGGGTCAATTGAAACTAGGAGATCATTATATTTCAATAAATATAATCTTTAAAACAGAGAAACTGCTCAGGTTGAACAGATTAGAGTTAAAATTAGAAAAGTACCAATGAGGGTTTAGACGTGCGCTGAAGACCAATAATGGATATAAAGGAAAATAAATTAGGAGATTAGGAGAGCAGACTCCTGAGTACAGGTGATACGTGAACATGGTGAAGGAGGATATGAAAATGGTTAGAAGTAGCAACAGTGATGACTCCAAGGACAATAAATCCCATTGTTAATGTTTATCAAAAACAAAACACGAACCACTGACATCTGACTTGTTTCTTGACCTTCATCTAGCCTCCCTTGTTCTCTCCTACGACTTTCCTGACTTCCTTTGTCTTCGTCTTTGTCCCTGTTCATGTCATCTCTATTTTCTGAGTTTCTTCTCTTGTGGCCCAACAAGGATGAAAGATTCATGTGCCTCCAGGCACGTACACTGCAGCTGTCCCTTCACCTTGGGCCTCAAAAATTGTTCTCCATCATCCACTCCCTCTTCTCGACCTCCCACATTGTACATTTATGAACTTCTGCTCTGCCATTTCCAATCACTGCTCAAGGAGCAACAGTCTGATTTGTCAATGTGACACAATGTCAAGATGCTGTTAAGAGCTCTTATGTTTCATCTACACTGACAGCCAGCAGCACAGCTCAGGTCTTGGAGGAGCTTCAATCACAGAGTAGACTCCAATTCATAAACAGTCGACATTTTGGAACATGTCTGTCCATCGTTTAAGGCTGGATTACTGTGTTCAAGAGGTAAAAGAAAAGGCACAGAGAGACTTTTCAGGGGTCTCTAACAGAAAGCTCTAGTGTGAGCAGATGTTACTGTGTCTGTGATCAAGAAGGGAGTTTCATGGGGAAATTTCCAAAAATGGGAAGAGTAAATCAAAGCAAAGGGAACGTCCCTGGTTTATTCATCTCCTCTCCTTCCTCCTTTGTGTGGTTAATGGAGCATTCCATGTCTTAGATTTGTAGTTGCTTTAAAAATAAACAGGAAAAACTAAATTACAAGCAGGATACAGCTGGATGCTGTTTTTCAAATGAATGAATTCAGGGCTTGGGCACTTATGTTTTGGGCTCATGCTATATATATATATATAAATAACCCCAGCCTCTTGGCTCCAGGTAGGGTTTAACATTACTGTCTATTGTGTATGGTGTCAATAGAAAGCAGCTATTTTGCCTGTTGGCCTAGAAGATGAGCAGGCACAGAGAGAACCACAGATGATGCCATGGATAATAGTCCTGACGTTCTGGTAGTGGAACATGTTGAGACACTGACATGTTCTAAATACTTTTATGATGTTTATTATCAAAAAGGATTCTCAAAAGAACTCACTGACAGTGTAATTGTAACTTAGATGTAGTATATTATAATATTTTATAATACTGTAAGTACTAGATAATGGTTGTAGGAATGAAGAGGATATTTTATATATACGGTTCATTGATCTTAAGGGTCTGGTCTTAAGTGTGTTAAGAATGACCTTAAATCTCTGCTCTGATCGTCTATATGAAACCTTCTCAAAACACGAAGCAGCAGAATCTCTGGAGCACACAGATCCCTTGTGCAGAACAACATGACGAACTGTCATCTCAAGTACCCAGAATTCCCCACAACACTCTTGACCCTCTGCCTCTTCCTGTGCGTTCTCATGAAAACTTTAATGAGAGTGTCTCCTCCTCTGTTGCAAACCGGTGTTTCCAAAAGCAGCACTGATACCTTGAATGTCTCGCCCTCACCCTGCCGTGACCCTCGTGTTCACTCGTGGACTTGGTTGTGAATAGATGCAGAAGAGCGGGTGGGTGTTAAGAGGGTAGCCGGCGACTTAATTAAACTACAGAGCACGTCCCGGTGGCGTCCTATTGTACTGAGAGGTTAGGAAAGGCCAAGTATGTCTGCAGCTCACAGCTGGGAGACACAGGGAGATGGACTGAAGGGATGCACAGATGGATGGAGGGATGGATGGATGGATGGATGGATGGATGGATGGATGGATGGATGGATGGATGGATGGATGGATAGATTATTATTGACATGTGATATCTGCCTTAACCTGCAGGTGTTCCCAATAACGTGCGAACAATACGGAGATATTTTATTGTAACTAAGGATTCAATATGTATTGAACATTTTGGAGAATACACTAATCCAGTGACCGTTAAAATAAACTATTTCCTTAAAGGTAATAATGACATTTGTCTCCGTTGTCTTCTTCTCCTTGTTCGTATTGTTGATAATCGTAATATTGCTCTCAGCCGTTTCGATCTTTATGACTTAATTTAGACATAAATATAAATCAGTCTGAGCGCAGTTTTTACGGCATTTTTGGAGTGAAACCTGTTATCTGTCTTCATCCAGAATAAAAAAAAAAATCACGTGCAGTATAACATTTCTGAGGCTTTGATGAAAAGTGACTTTAAGGCTGACGAGTGAACTTCATTATCACAGTAGTTTCACACAATAAACTGATCTTCATCTGTGAGAGAGCGCGTCTCCAACAGATCAGTGGAAGCGCACACTCTCCTCCTGCTGTAAAGGCGTGGTCTCTCTCTCTCTCTCCCTCTCTCTCTCTATCCCACACACACACACACACACACACACACACACACACACACACTCCTGTTGGACAGCTGTTGGTAGTGGTTCGGCTGAGAACAGTTTTACGCACAGAGGAACTACCTGAGAACGCACTGACCGACACTGGCACAGAGAGGAGAGTTCCCCTCATTCACTCCTGCTATTTTCGCCCGGAATAATGCGTCTGCCTGTCGGCGACACATTTTGATTATTTATTCTGCAAGCTTTCAATTAAAGGCAGATACATTTATTCTTTGTCAAAATGAAGGAATTTGCTGCTTTTCTACACATGTTCCTCGCTGCGCTACTCGTCGCCTGCGTCTCCACGACCAAGTTAAATGTTCCCAGACTGAGACTGTCTTATAAAGGTAATTACCAACAATGACATCTGTGTATCTATCTATTATTTTGTCTTTGACAAAAAGTCAGATTTTTTTTTAATATTCTGGACTTTCACCATGTAAACTATTCTATTTTTTGGGCATTGTTTCTCAGACAGCGTGTCTGCCCCTTGGTGGTCCAGGGTTGTTGATTTGGCTACTGTTTAGGGGTGGGGGGTTAATGCACATTTAACAGATTTTGCCCCACCAGGCAGGGTGTCAGTGCTGGAGGAGATTCTGGCTGGGGTTCCATGTCTCTGTGGTTGGACACGCTGTGGTGCAAAAGTCTCATTAAAACGTTTATTAGCAGAGAAAACCACACTTTAGGAAAGGATGTTGCATAAGGTTTAATGTTGTTAGTGTTAATGATGTCAACATTTATAATTCTGTCCTTCAGATAAATGGATGAACATGTGATGGGACTGAATTTGGCTTGTGCTTTTCTTTTTTAATTGAATTTAAAATAATGCTAGCCATAGGCTGACGTGTTATCACATCTTTCCAATCTGAAGATGACATATGTGAGGTATGTTCTCTGGTCTGTTCACACGCCCGCTCTTATCAAACCCTTCTGCTGGCAATGACTCACGCAGGTTTGTGAGGCAGTGTATGTGTGTGTGTGTGTGTTTAAGAGCTGCTGCCTGAGTGTTGGCTCTCATTGTTTTGTTGCTCTGGTGTACAATCATCAAAGATATCACACAGGATTTCCTCCTGTTCTGTATGTTTTTTGGGAGAAAACACATACGTAGCTTCAGTGCTCTTCCTGTTGACATGACTGGAAATGTTGCTGCAGAGAGGGAAACTGATAAAGAAGTCACACTGGACAATGACAGAGAGGACAACTTTAGACTGTTCGGTGACAACAAGGGCTAATGGGGACAAACGATAACACATTTGTCTGTATTTGTTATTCATTCTCAGGGGACTTTAAAGACGAGAATGTTGATTAGTTGTCAGTCGGGGCCATCTGTCTGACACTGAGGTCTGGTGTTTGGGGTCTCATCACATCAGTTTGCACCAAAGAGGATTAAATGTGGTGTCTCTGGTGGGACCTTTCACCTTCTTTAGCATTAGCATTATAACAACTTTCCTCTCTACATACAAAATCTTGTGGGAAAATTTACGGAGCACATTGGTTCTCCCCAAACCTGATCCTTTTGTGACACGATGTGAGCTTTGTGTCACCACAGGCCAAAATATAAACCAAGATACACAGACATGTCGTCCAAAGGGGATTATTATCTTTATGCTGTTTGTTGAAAGAAATAGAAAAAAGTGAAAAAAAAATTCTGTTAATCGTGAATGTATGTCTTATTTCTGTGGTACGGCAGAGGATTAGTAAAAGAAAAGTGAAGTAGTTTGGTTAGTTACTGAGAGTTAAGGGTTAAATTCCATGTTCTTTTAGTCCACATGCTGGTAGATTATGGATGAGTGACGTTGATGGAAAGATGCGCTTGTTTCTGTCACAAATGAATAACAACTTCTCCTAAAATGGTTTCTAACTATATACAAAAATAAAAAATATTATATACTCACATGTAGGTTAAAGTTTGCTGAGTATTCCCCAAGACTAAAACAACACCATATACATTTTGAATTTAACATTTGTTGCTACTTTTTTTATGCTACTTCATAAACCTGGTTTTTCTGGTTATTTTAACATGTCTGTTAAAATCACCCTGTCTATGTGTGCATGCCTCTGCAGACAGCACATTACCCTGCCAGCCCACAAGAGGGCGAAGCATTCTAATGCTCATGGCCTTGTCTTGAAATTACAAGCCTTTTGGGCTTTTCTGGGTTTTACTGGATGTTGGTTCTGTTCTCAGAAGGTAATGTTTGGAAACATTCACATTAGGAAACTGACTTGGAGGATTTTTTTTGTAATTTACCGTAAATAAAGTAACGCCTGCAGGAGGTGGAAAAAGAAGAAACCAAGTTTCTCTCTCACAGTTTTACTAGTCAAATTGTCTTTTAAACCTCCCACATTTTTACAAAGAGCAATAAACAACAGCATTAAGTCAAAGTGTGGGAAGAAACTGTGAGTACAAGGCCGTCTTTATGTGATGATGTAGCTGCTTACATCCTGCCTGCATGACTCCGCGTGTGATTGCAGCATTTCGTCCTCCTTTACATAAATGACTGCTTGATTGGAGCCTAATTATCTGCTAACAGCCATTCAATCTCTGGCTAAATCTTGTCATAACTTCTCTAACATGTCTAATCTGGTCACTGATCAGTCTGAGTTCACACCTACATCAACATTCTCTCTCTCTCTCTCTCACATCTGTTTGACTGTTCCTTCAAACCCCCCCCCCCATTTCATCCTCACCCTTTGAAGCCTGCAGGGTGTTTGTATTCCCAGGAGGAAGTGGAAGTAATTTGGTGACAGGAAAAGCTGCTATTATCTCATTTCAATCAATTAGTGGCTAGAAGTTGAACAGGAAGAGGACCATTTTACCTAGGAGAGATTAGGGTTCCTCACTCCTCTCCTCCTTTTCTCTCTTTTCTTCTCTACTCCTTTTGTCCACTTTATCACCTCTCTTCCACTCCTCTTCTGCCTTGCTCTTTTCTCCTCTCTTCTTTTCTATCTGTCTCTTTTTTTGTTGTTCTGTTGTCTTGTCTCCCTTCCATTGCACCACACTAACACCACACTGCATCTCTCTGCCTTTGCATGTCTGTCATTTGTTTTCCAGCTGCCTTTAATTGGCCTCCATTTCTTATTCACCGGTTTTGAGTTTGTATGTCTGTTTGTTGACACACACACACACACACGCACATGACTTAGGGATTACTTTTTGTCAAATTGAGCAGCAGGATGACACACACTCAACAGCACAAACATTCCCAACTGAGACCCTTTTTGATCAGATCGCATTAATTCTCAGAATGACTGGCTCTGTTTGTTGTTGCTTACTGTGCCTAAAGAATTAATGAGTTTGTTTCTCAGTCGGAGTTGCCCAGACACACACACACACACACATGTAGATGGGTGTTAATTGTTCTAAGGAGGAGCAGAGTCATCTGTCACTAGGAGTCCTGCAAAGATGAAAGGAGGGAATCTTTTATTCCTTAACTTCTTTTTTAAATTATTATTTTTAAAATTATCTTTCATTAGATTTTCTCTACACCACTCCCCCACACAGCCCACTCCTTTGGTCCGACTTTTCCTGTGTTCACTCTAAGTACTCCAAGGCCTGTGGACTTATCAAAAATCCAGTGAGAGAAAAGAAAGACGAAGGAACAAAAGAGTGCAGCATTAAGGCTTAGTAAGTGAGCCAACTGGCCGGTTAGATAAGACCTTTTTTTTTTCAAATTCACTTTGGCTCCAAGAAATACTGGAAGTGAGTGAGGAGCTGTGCAGGTTTTACTTTTATAAAAATGTCTGACATGTGTTTATATTTCACATGTTTGTGTAAGCTCTTAGCGTTTAGCACTGGGAGAATCGAACCCCCAGGCCAACGTTTTCAATTTATAGTAAATGAACAACTATCGAAAAAAGGTTTTAGAAGAAAAGGAAATGTCGGTCCTGGTTCAGCTTTAAAATATAAGTCTTTCTTCTCTGGCTACAAAATATATTTTAGAAACAAAGTCATATATTTACAGCGGTCCATACATTTTAACAAATACATACAGGGACTTAGTTGAAAGTGCCTGCTTAGATGCTGCTATTATATATATAATATATATTTATTTATATATCTTTACATATAAATCATATTGATTTAATGTAATTCATATATATGTATACATATATTCATAAATATACTGTATTCAGCTTGGTGTCTACAGCCTCAGGTACTGTGTTCTGTATTGTATGAAGGCGTTAGGGTCAAAGGTTCAGGTGTGTGTGTGTGTGTGTGTGTGTGTGTGAGATGTTAGTCCACTGACACATTTGTGTGAGGGTGTTGGTGATGTTTGGATGCACATGCATGAACGTGACAGTTTGCGTGTCTGAAGCCAACTGCGTGTGTGTCTGTGACATCTGTGCATCTGAAGGTGTCGTGTGTGTGTGTGTGTGTGTGTGTGTGTGTAATGTCAACAGTATCTCTAAAGTGGTCAGAACAGAGACTCAGACGGAGGATGTGGACACCTGGGGAGCAGATATTGACTTTAAATGTGTTGGAGAGACGGAAAAGTGCAAAAAGGCTCTGAAGGATAAACACACACACACACACACACCCAGAGCACAGATGGAGAGGAAGCCAGTACCTTTGTTGGGAGGAAAGTAAAAACTGCAGCCTGTGATGTTTATAGAGGAACAAAGAAATAAAAGAGGAGAGAAACATGAAACAGTACTGCTGCAGGGATCCAATCAAAACACTGGGAAAGATAAGATCTCCTCTTGATTGTTTCTTTTTCATGGATTAATAAAAAAACGCTCATGCTGATATTTATCTCCACTTATGACTTTTGTTATTTTTCGGCTTGTGAATAAGATTAAATAACTTATACTATTTGGAATTTGTTTAACCATTTTTTTTTGGCAAAGTAGATTTTAAATAAACCTAAAATGAACCAGTTGTTTTAGTGGAAACATGCCAACAGGCCATCACACAATAAAGCCACATATTTAAATATAAGGATTATATGTAGCATACTCACTGCAGTTGGCATTGGTTTAATTTGAAAAGAAAAAGAAAACAATGATTATAAAGGTACGAGCAATTGTATCATCTCTATAATGTAGTAGTAATCATTAAGTACGGTGTATATTAATAAGGTTAGGATTAATAGGGTGGCCTATGTTTAATAATATAGATATAGACTAATAGATATTAGTAAATTTCCCAAAATGCTAACAAGCTGTATTTTTTTTTTTTTTTTGTTGTAAGTCACTGGAACCTTATATAATGTTTAAAGGACAAATCTCTATTTGGATGGATGGTGGAACTGCCAGATAGTCAGTGCCCATTATTGATCCTGTGCCTTAAAATGTGGTCAAAACTGATTCTATTACTCATTAATTAACTAGATATAATTGACTATTT